CTGCTGCGGGCCTACCGCGGCCAGGAGTCCCTGCTGCGGGCCTACCGTGGCCAGGAGTCCCTGCTGCGCCATCACTGCAGCCAACACTCTGCTGCCATTCCAGGAGACCATGCATTGGGCCTACGTGCCAGGAGTCACCACTGACACCACTCCAGCCTCCCCACAACATCAGGAAGATGAAGAAAAGAAAAAGAAGATAAAAGGAGAGAAAGAAAAAGAAGATAAAAGGAGAGAGAGAAAAAGAATGCGGATGGGCTCCGCCCAAAATACAATCAGTCATACCAGTACGGCCATCTTGATTCTGAGCAGAGCTTTATCCATGTCATTTCAGTGACATTTTTAATCATCTGTTCATAGAATTTATTGCCCATCCTAATTACTCTGGAGAAGGTATACTGTCTTCTTGAACAACTGCAGTTCTTTGAATGAAGAAGCACCCACAATGCCGTTTGGAAGAAGGTTCTAGGATTTTGAGACAGTGACAGTGAAAGAAGAGAGAAATAATGCAAAGTCAGGATGGTATGAGGCTTGGATGGGAATTTGTAAGTGGTGGTGTTTCCAAACATTGGCTTTCCTTATCTTTCTAGGAGGTAGAGGTTGTGGGCTTGGAAAGTGCAGTTGAAAGAGTCTTGGTAAGTTCTTTTAGATGGTACGCACTGCTGTTACTGTGCATCAATAGTGAAGGAAATGAGCCTTGAAAATTTTGGTGATGGTGCCAATCAAACAGGTTGCTTCATCCTGGATGGGGTCAAGATTCTTGAAGCACCCATCCAGCAAGTGGAGAGTATTCCATCACACTCCTGACTTGTGCCTTGTAGGCAGTGGACATTCATTATAGAGAGAGAATGTGAGTTACTCACTGCAGAATAGAAAATGTAAAAAGCAGGAGCAGGAGTGGACTATCTGGCCCTTCAAGCCTGCTCTGCCATTCAGTATGATCATACGATCCAACCCAGTAGCCTGTTCCCACTTTCACCCCATATCCTTTCATCCCTTAAGCCCTATAAACTATATCTAACTCCTTCTCGAAAACATTCAGTGTTTTGAACTCAACCACTTTCTGTGGCAGAGAGTTCCATAGACTCAGCACTCTCTGGACGTATCAAATTTCTCTTTATCTCAGTCCTAAATTATCTATCCTCATCCTTGAGTTATGATCCATGGATCTAGACTCCCCAGCCAGCAGTTCCAGACTAACAGTGCATGTCTCAGTGCAAAACAAACTTTTAAAAGTAGCGCACGTACATAGGATACGGGACTATTCCTGGATATCGCAGCAGTGATATGTTGTTCTGGATATAGTAAGTGGTAGAATTGGACTAGAATTATATGGGGCGGGGTGGGGGGGTGGCGGTTGGGGTTGGGGATTGTGGGGAAGGATGCCAGGGGATAAAGTTGATAGTTAATGGCATGAATTTAGTAAGATAGAGCGAAGGAAAACCATTTGGCTTCACAGAGAGAAACCCTCCATGCAACTCAATAAAACTAAAACTTAGTCAAAAGAAAATGCAAGATTAGCCCATTGTCATTCATTTTGAATCATTTTTATCCTGAATTTAACTGGGAACAAATGCCTGTGATACAGAGTTGAATCAGATCTTCAGCTGAGTGGTGCTTTTGGCATTACAGACTAAATGAATGCGAACTTTCAATGTGCTTCACGGACTTAATCTGTCCTTTGGTTATCAGGAAGGTCCATATGTTATGCTGAAGAAAAATCATGACACTTTGGAAGGAAATGACAAGTACGAGGGTTACTGTGTGGATTTAGCTTCAGAAATTGCAAAGCACATCGGGATCAAATATGAACTTAAAATCGTTCCTGATGGAAAATATGGAGCAAGAGATCCAGACACTAAAATCTGGAATGGAATGGTGGGCGAACTTGTTTATGGGGTAAGCATCTTTTTTATAATAGCTGGAAAGTAAAGTTTCTTTCCTTAGCTTCAAATTTCTTTTGCATAAGAAGTGTAGTGCATTGATTTCTTGCTTGCACTGTTTACCAAAGTTATTAATCTAGTCATTTCAGTCTGTGAAGAGTTTGAGGAATGTGACTCCCACAGAAATTTGAGTGCTTTCAAGAGCTGTCAATAAACATTGCTTTAAAATGCAAATTTAACAAGAGTATTTGGAAATGTAAGGATGGAGCTTTCTTCTATATATGATTCAACATTAAAAACGAGTTGGCCCTTTGGGTGTTCATTTGAAGTTTGTGTTGAGTGTCCTAATTACCAAATGCTTAGGAAGATGTTGTAGATACCAAAATGTGTGGAAAAAGGAAACAGGAAATTGCAACATCTTTCAGAAATAATATTCAAAAATCGTGTGATGAAATTAATGCAGTACCAAAGGATTTCTCTGCTCTCTTCAAAGGAAGATTGGCAGTGCCCTGAGAGAAATTGTATAACTGACTATTTTCAGCCTTTTGTATCATTTCTCCAGGGATTCTGCTGATCTCCCACCAGGGACACCCTGTGATTATTCCAGCTAATAGTTGAAATAATGGAACTAACTTGAGGATGACGACCAGCAATATTAATTTTTGCTATATACAAGAGAGAGGCTCAAGGTTGATGTAAAATATAATTTGACTATTCTGGTTTCTTTAATTACGCACCAAGTACATCAGACATCCTGGATATGAACAATAAGAGACAGAGTACAGAACTGACATTTCTCTCCATAGCACAATAATATTTGTTTAAATTTCTACATCAGTGGGCGTGTTATAGCCTTAATAGATTCAATTGAATCTTTTATTCTTCAGTGACAGATTCCTGATTATAAAACAAAAGATGATGTAGATTTTGGATATCCAGAATTTAATTCTAAGGAACTTTGCCATCACTGTAACCAATAAAGTCACTCAGTCTCTTTATCTCCATGGTGCTATCTTAGTTTTCATCCCATTTTGAAATATTTAATGCTTTTTCCTATATTTACCAGTGATGACAGTTTTGAAAGCATGCTAACACATACTTATTATGATTTTAGTAAACAACCATTTTTTCCTATTGAATCATTTATTTGAAGTATGTGTTTTGTTGAAACTTTCCTGGTGGTCTGTGCTTAGGGTAGGGTAAATGCATTAGGGTAGGGAGCATCAATTTCAAACGGTAATTTCAAAGATGTAAAATAGTTCTTACGAAATATTCTGCAGTTTTCTCGGGCACTGGCCACCTGCACTCTCTCAATTCAAATCAGCTGAACTCCATTTAGTTAAATCAGTGAAAAAAAAACAGAAACAACCAGCTGTTGGGTTCAGCTACAAAGGAATCCTTCCAACAAGATGTGTAGGTTAGGTGGATTGGCCATGCTAAATTGCCAATAGTGCCCAGGGATGTGCAGGCTAGGTGCATAAAACATGGGAAATGCAGAGTTACAGGGATAGGGTAGGAGTGTAGATCTCGGTACGTTGCTCTTCAGAAGGGTGGTGTGGACTCGATGGGCCGAATGCCTTACTTCCACACTGTAGTGATTATATGATTTTATGATATCCCTCACACTCTATAGTTCACATTCCTCTCAATTTTGCCATTTATCATGACAAATCTCTCTGAATGCAAAGCCATGGAAGAGTCACAATCATTTTTACACCATTCATACAAATAAAAAAAGACTCCATTTCTAATTCCATTCACTTCTAAAATTATGCCACAACAACCTAGATAAAACCACAGTCCGCTGAAGAAGCACTTTGCTGTGATGTGATCAATTTTAGCATTGACTGAAACTCCTGATGCCCCCAGAACATGGCAGATTTCCTCTGTGTTCTTAGGTATGCCACAATTCGATGTACTGACAGAATACATTTATGATTTTGCTACAACTAGTGCACAGCAGAAAACGATCCCTGACATAACTTCCATCAGTAAGACAAGGTCGGAGGGAAAATGTCCAATATTGCAACAAAGGAGAGGGAGATATGACTCACATCAGCATGCTGTTTTCACTTGTTCCATGCTCTTATCAATCTCATAACATGAACAAAAATTATGGCGGGATCCAATTCCCATTCATAAAATTTGAAAAACAGCACCTTACAAAATGACAAGCACAAATTGTCCCTTTGGATATTTTTGGGTACCTGTCCCAAATGGCAGGAGAGCATTATGTATTAATCATGATATGTTAAACAGTGTTCTTCCCTCACTCTATCTCCGAAGGAGGGTTTCAGATGCAGCAGCTGAAATGTTTGGAATGCTGTATTGATTGGTTCCACTGTGCAACGGAAACAGTCATTGTCCTTTTAATGTTTTCATGTGGTTTGACTGGAAGTGGGCAGACGCCTCACTATTCAAACTGTACAGACTTCCTAACTTCTGAAAACAGATAAAAATACCTTGGTTGTTCCTTCGCGTAGCTGCTACTGGAAAGTTGGCAATTAGGTGGGCTATAGGAGGGTGGGCCTGGGTGGGATGCTCCAGGGGTTGGTGTGGACTTGTTGGGCCGAAGGGCCTGTTTCCACACTGTAGGGGTTCTATGATTCTATGATAATATTTTGTTCTAGCGAAAGTAAATCAAAGGGACTAAAAAAAAACCCAAGTAACTGTATCAACAGTTGATATCATAATTTAAAATGCTGTGATATTTACTTATTTTGTTTTATTTTGATATGTTGTTCTGTACTTCTTTTTAAAACTTTAACTTTCCCTCTTACTGTTTCCCTTGTTATTAGATCCCAGGAGGGAACTATAGACAAATCTGTATCTGTCCTTTGCACGAGTATCCTATCCAGCAGCAGTCAGATCTGAGAACCATAGCTCTGGCTGAAATCTATTTGATTTGCCAACTCTGGTGGTAGTTCTGGAGGATAATCATGCGACATTCTGATCATGTGACTTCTGTCCATGTGCCATCTCGTCACATAATGTTGGTGGATTTAGGTTATGAGCATTAGGTTGTGTATCTTTGCCCATGATCTGGTACCAACTGATATGGGGGGTTTTCAACGACCAGGAGGTGACCCATTATCAAAGAAAGGAAACTGATGGTGTGGAGTGTTTCTAAGGGAGGGAAATAACTGAGCATGAAGAAACTTTAATTCCAGCACTAATTAATTGTGGGCCACTGATTTGTTATTATTTATTCATGAGAATTGAGCGTTGCTGGCCTAGCCAGCATTTATTACTCATCCCTAGTTACCCAGAGGGCAGTTAAAAGTTAACCACATTGGTATGGGTCAGGAGTTGGATGTACTCCAGACCAGGTAAGGGCAGCAGATTACCTTCTTCAAAGGATGTTAGTGAACCAGGTGGGTTTTTCCACCAATTGACAGTGGTTAGATGGCCACCATTAGGTGAGCATTTTTTTCTAGTTCTTCCTAACTGTCATGGTGGGATTCAAACCTACGTCCCCAGAACATTAGCCTGAGCTTTTTGAAATGACCGTCTCGTGACATTGCCACAATAGCACCACCTCCTTCAACTGGGTAATTAGTAAAATTGGTAGTACTCAGATTTCCTTCATGTAATATGATCATACTATGATAGGTCGTTGTGTAATTAAAGGTATAATGCCAAGATAATATAGCTGTAACTGATACTATCTCACACTGATATTTATTTTGTTGTTCTGAGTAGATTCCCCTATGCTGCATGAGAAGTCAGGCTGTCCAATCAAAGTCACTTTTACTAGGCCCAATCATGATGTCTCTTCCTTCAACTCTGGTTTAGACTCTGAGTCTGTGAAAAGATTACGTTAGTTACAGTCAGTCTGTAATTGGATTTCATTTGTCAAAGCTAAGCTACATTGAACCAATCCTAAAGAAAAATCACAGAATATACAGTGAACTCAATATTGGAGTATTTCTCATATGTCCTGTAGGCCTAAATTCAGCTCAGCACCAACTGTTGTGGGCTCAGACTCAACAAAGCAGAGTTTTCATTAAGTGATGAAACTGCAAGAGAGGTAGAGGCTCTTTAATATTCAGAGCCTCCTGACACTGTGTTGGTTAGCTCTCCTATAACCGTTCCACCCTCCTGCCCCAATCTCTTTATATTCCTCCTTTTTAACTGTTTATTCCATTACCTTTTATTTGATGCTTTATTTTCTCTATTCAATCATCACTGGAAGTGCAATTCAAGAGTCTTCCATTTCACTTTCTCCCTGCACAAAAGCAGAAGTTGCTGGAAAAGCTCAGCAGATCCAATAGGATCTGTGAAGAGAAAAATAAAGCTAACGTTTCAGGTCCGGTGATCCTTCCTCAGTTGAAGTGTCACCAGATCCGAAACATTAACTCTAATTTTTTCTTCACAGATGCTGCTGGACCTACTGAGCTTTTCCAGCAACTTCTACATTTTTCCTGATTTACAACATCCACAGTTCTTTTGGTTTTTATTTTTCCCTTTCTCCCTCGTTCTTCAGTTGAAAGGCCTCCGCTCTCTATTTTTTCCCACTCACCTATCACTTGCAAATAATATCTGTACATTTGATCCTCTGTTTGCATTCACCATGTTGCATCTCCTGCTCTTATCTCGACAGAAAATGTTGGTTCTAATACCTATCCCTCTCCTCACTTTCCCCTTCCTAAAGTTCCAATCCCATTACTCATATTCCACTTCTCTTTCATTCATTAAGCCTTATTTTCATCACTGTCTTCCCCATTTACCACTGTATCTTTTTTCCTATCCCAGTCACCTTCTTTCCTCAGGCCCTTTCATCCAATTTCCCCCTTTTCTATGGACCTACATTGCTCCTCCTCCATCTCTCCCTCAGGTCCCCATCTTCTAATCCCCATTCTCAATCTCCTTTTATTCTCAGCTGCTATCACCAAACCTCTTCCTCTTCCTGAACTCTCATTCCCTGAATTGCCACTCCCTAAGGGATTTGGGCCTTTAAAAATGGCAAGTGGGGCCTAGATTTGTAAGTCTCACCCCACTTCCAACAGATCAATTTTACCAGCAGTGGGAAAGAGGTGGAATATGATTCACACTGGCAGGAAACCCTGACTGAGCAGGGCCTTTTGAATGTAGTGTTGAGCTTAAAGAGGGTATTAAAGGATTAGCTGCTTTTGATTTGGTGTTTGATTGGAAGTTTACTTTTAATATGAGATTAAACCCTTTAATAGCTTTGAATGGGTTTCATGAGTGGTGGTTTCACTAGCAATTGTGTAGGAATGAGAGGTGCATTTGTCAGAAGTTTTCTTCACATCTTCACATGATTTCTGAGGACTGGGTGAGTGGGAATGGAAGTGACATGAGAGTATAAGGAGGCGTGGTTGGTGTGAAGGTGGATTGGGGAGTGCATCTATTGGCATGGAAGGAACATGCGGATTGGGTAAGGTGTGAGGGGATGTAAAAGCTGACGAATAGAGAGCCTAACCATTTCTAAAACAACTGGCACTCATATCTTGCTCCCTGGTCTCACTACTGTGGCCACCTAAGATCTGCTTTGATGTTTAGCAGGCCTACCTTGAATCCACACCTCTCTGAAGTGAAAATTGTATGTTTTAAATCCAAGCAGATCTGCTGAGTCGTAAAATTTGCCCACTCACGCTACCCACCTTGGTAGCAAAAATCCAGCTTTAAGCTAGCTCCTCTCCCCTGAGCTCACTTCTTTTTTTCTCTCCCTCTTCCTCAGCCCTCATTTCCTCATCCCACTTCCACCTCTTCGAGAGGATGGACTGCTTCTGTGGATATTTAAAATATGAAGACAGCCCAGCTTGAAGGATCTGTGCCTCATTGTTGGAGACTCATGGGCCCTCCAGAAGGATTAGCAATCTTACATCCAGCAATAACAGGAGTCAAACTGAGACCTTGGCTTGTATAGTTTACTTTCACACAAAGTGATGCATGAATGCATTCAAACACTGTTAAAACCCTTTTCCCTTTTAAGTCTCTCCTGTACCATGCCATATCAGTTCAGAAGTTAGACTGATGACCTAGTTTTCGGCCTTACCATCCACTGCTATTGATTGAACCCTGAGGAATTGTAAGAGAGTGCTTTCTGATCACAATGTTCTGATCACAAATTAATTGACAGCCCTCCTTCTGATGAAATGCAGCCCAACTTGGTAGGAATATTTTCACATCATCAATAATGCTGTTTGGACTTTAACTTGCCATGCATCTTCTATATTTCATGCACAAGAACATTAAATTGTGTTCTTACAAATCTTAGATGTTGACTTGACATTTTTAAACAGTGAACAATTCAACGTTTTAGAGAAAGTGCTGGCAAAAATTTGATCCTAATCTCAGAGGAAGTGGACTGGATGCAGTGAAGATATCAATGCTGGAAATCTGGCAGGCGCCACTGGCTCATCAGTACTGTTTCCTATCTGCCATACAGGCCCACAAAGAACCACAGTCAGGCCCCAATCAGCGTCCTTGTCCAATGGAGAGTATTTGTATCAAGACATAACGAGATGCTCATATGTTTCAGCATTGAGACATTTATTATCTGCTCGAGTGTACTTTCTAAAGGGACTGTTAATCTGTGTTTACGAGTTTAAGTGAGTACAAATGAGTAACTTTCCTGTAGATGCATCGGACCACTGTTAAAATGTCCTTGAGAAAAATTGGGGGGAAAGAAATAAATATTAGAGTTTATTTGAATGTACAAAATTTGCAAAATAAAAACAGCATGGCGCATCTATAATTCTGAAAGCGGAGCCTCCTGGCACCTTGTTTTTACTCTAACAAAGTATGGTGTCAGAGGACTATTAAAATTAATGAACAAACAGTAAGTCATATGGTGCACTATCCACATTGCACTTGTTGAAATATTTAATATTCTAAGCTTAAAGCTGAATAAATTAATGAAAGAGACTAAAGATTTTCTTCAAAGGTTGATTGCACTGGTATCATCTATCGTGTGTGTACTTTCAGATATGTATTTAAAAAGGATTTTCCCCCCATTTCACAGAGAGCACAGATTGGTGTGGCGCCACTGACCATTACTTTAGTAAGAGAAGAGGTCATTGACTTTTCCAAGCCCTTCATGAGCCTGGGAATTTCCATCATGATCAAGAAACCGCAGAAGTCCAAGCCTGGTGTCTTCTCCTTTCTTGACCCTTTGGCATATGAAATTTGGATGTGTATCGTCTTTGCCTACATTGGAGTCAGCGTGGTACTCTTCCTGGTGAGCAGGTTTAGCCCATATGAATGGCACACTGAAGAACCAGAAGATGGACAAGATGCATCGCCAAATGATCAACCGCCCAATGAGTTTGGCATCTTTAACAGTCTTTGGTTTTCTCTGGGTGCCTTTATGCAGCAAGGATGCGATATTTCACCAAGGTTGGTCACTTATCTATTAACTCTGTGCATTTTATGGTCAAGCCTGATGCCATGGTGCATATACGTTACCTTTACCCCCTTAAATATAAGTATATTCTTTCTAAAATTTATTTGAATGCTTCCATAAACGGTAAGGTTCCGAAAGAAATTGCTGCTTTTTTTTATAGATAAGTGAAATGTGTGAATGACCTCTAAATTATCATTTACACATTTCTGCACGTAACTTATATACACCATGCGTAGACCGTAAAATGCGTAAAGTTATGCTGATTTTGTCCCCTTGGAGGACTACCGTGTGTTTGCTGCATACCTTATTTTACGGTCAACTATCCAGGTGTATATAAAATTTCATTTCTTTCTGATCTGTACCCATTGCTGAAATGAAAAGAAAATGAAGTGTAATGACCAAATTTTATTGTTGAATAGCTTTTTAGTACTCAAATACAGGAGCTCACTTTCAACCATGTATGAAGGCATATCCATAATAGGTCAAAATTTTACATTTGCGTGGATGTTCTGTCAACTTTTTCCATTATAAATTCCTATATCCTATACATTTATAATGGAAACTGCCTATGTTAATTTATCAACTGTAATTTCACTTCCTTCTAAGTGAAAGCAGTGACTCCCATAGGAGATCTACTGAATGTATTTTTATGAAAAATAATTCCTTATACATTTACGATAGTGTTGTGAAATGATTAATAGTATATGTTGTAGCAAAAAATGTGCTGTACTTTTGTCTGTACACAGCATTCATATTTAATTTGTTTTTAACTATGTTTAAGTAGATGTTTAAGGTTTTAAAAATTGCAAAGACTGAGATAATGAACTACCTTAGGGTATATACCGGTTCCAAAGCTGCTAAGACAAATGGCAAGTAAACTGAAGAATGAATTTGTCAATTGAATAGTATATGAGTTGAACTGAACTAATATTTCAATTTTTCTTGATTATGTTTGGAGATCTGAGTGGAATTTCACAGACCTCTCTCAGGAAATTAGGTCGACTGATTGAAATTCATTATTGTCCAGAGATAAGTCAAAAAGGCATTTCTCATTTTTTCCATTTCTATAACAAATTTTAATTTGGTGCAGTCAGTTGCAGGGTCTGTCAACATGATGGGCAGTGCTAAGGAATAAGCAGATATACATTTCCCGTGCCGACATTCATTGAGGCTAGCAGTAAAGGAGCTGTAAATTGGGATTAAAAGACTAACAGTCTGAACCGATTTCTACAATACTGTTCTGACTTTAGGAAGCCTTACTAAACGTGAAGTGTTGGTTAGAAATTAACTAAAGTTGGAAATAGCAGTTAATAGCTTGGGCATGAAATATAGGTGTGGAGATGTACGGAATATACCACCTATCGGCTCGACTAGCCCTAATCTACGTATATGTCCTGGATTCATAAATACACATTTACCAACATTACCAAACTAGGAAAGACAGCACGGTTTAAAAAGGCAACCGAAGAGTTACAGAACAATATAGATAATGTTCACAAGTAAACCAACTTGAGCAGATAATAATGAGTAGGAATAAAGTGAAAGGTCTTCGGACATTGAAGGGAAAAACGTGGAGCATGATTGATGGTTTTAACTCAATATAGACAAAACTGAAACTCATGGAATGGAATGGTCTGCCCTTGGAGGTACTGAGCTTGGAAGTGGGAAGGACACTTAATTAGGTGCAGTGGTAACATACCTTATCCCATTGCTAACCTCAGCTCGAATTAAGTTCTGGCCAAGGAGACCCTTGGTTGACCTTACAGCCTTGCCACTATTTGAGGCCTTTAATTGGCCAATTAAGCACTGCAGCCTGCCACTGCCAGAATTAACTTGGCTGCAGGTAGGCCTGGCACCACGCAGCCACGGCTTCCTCTGTAATGCTGCTGAGCAGAAGAGCTACTGGCTGCTGATTGGCCTGTAGCTTTTACTCGGGCATCGTCAGTTCCCCGTGATTTTGACTCCAGGGAGGGTTCAGTAGGGGCCTAACCACTGCCTGATTGGAATGTGGCTTCAGTGTCTTTCTTAGAAAAACCAACATGGGTCTCTCACTGGCTCTCAAGTCCATAGTGTAGGTAAGGAACTCAATTGTGACCATGTGTAATCTTCACAGAGCAGTGATCAATATGCTGAGTTATGTTGGCAAATTTAAGAGGACTTGATTGATGCACGTTGAATATTGAATTAATTTGTGATCATTAAAGCACAAAGGATTCATCCATCTCATAAATGTGATGCATGGATGAACCATAAGGTTGATGCCTGCTGCTAAAGAACATTTAGAAAAACCTTGAGTTCTCAGCGATGAAAGAAAGGAAACAGATAGAATTAGAATTGGAATAGAAAAGACTGATCTGGATCCAACCTGGTAAATGTACCTTTGAGACCGCAACCAGAAATCTTCACAGAAAGAGTGATTAGTACCTGCAATGGTGCTGCAATGGCAGCTGTGGAGGCAAAATCTCAGGAGTTATTCAGGTTACCGTTAGAGAGTGTAATTTCATTCTCTGTGATAGGATAGGCTGAATTGCTTCACAATGCCTGCCCAGTTTATCTTTTTATCTTTCCAATCCAATCTTGCCATGATTTAACATAAATAACAAAATTTTTAGTTCTTTAATATGTAGATACCATATGGCTCTTAATTTAGGATTCCATATGTTCACACCAGGTTTTGAGGGAACAGCCATGATGCATATACCTTCAGGTTTTTCAGCATTCATACAGTTTTTCAAGCAGAAGAAAAACTGGGCAATTAAAATCTGGGAGCTGGAAGCTACATACTACAACTATGGCGCATTACACCTTGTCACACAACACACATTAAAGCTGAATTGCAATATAATAAAGCCCATGCTCAGACCAGGACAGTGATTGAGCTTTTGCTGTGCTCAAACAGCAGTTCAGTAATCATCTCCCTTCTGTAGGCTGCTTCATGAATGACCCTGGAAAGGTCATCAACATTTTGCAGCTTGCTGCTCTAAATTGCCGTTGACAGTCGCATCAGCATTCAGTTCATTGTTGATCAGGTAAAACCAGGGATTAGGAATATAAAATGTGCCACTGGCAACAAGAGTATATGGTATCTTTTAATTGATGGCTTCTTGTCTGAGCAAATGCAATGGAGCATTTGTCTTTTATTGACTGCAATGATACAATCCTGTCTGTTAGTTTATTGTTTTTCTACTTCTTACCTGTAACCAGTAAGTCGCTATCCCTTGATCTTTTCAAAAAGGCCAGAGTAGCACAGTGATTTTATTAGTCACAGTCAGTTGGTGTAGCCCAAAAGCTAAGAACAAACAAAAATAGTCTTATTTAACATGCATGTGCATGTCCATGTATGTGCCCTTAGTGTCTCTATGCAATTAATACAGTGTATGTACTTGATTATGATATGTAAAATTATGACTAATCCTGTGCAAAGGTTCATATGTTGTATCATGAAAGTACTGCTGTTGTATGAATGGATGAAATCAATTTACTTTCCATGCATAGCCCTGATCCACTTTTGATGAGCAAAAATCAGCATGGTCATTATTCTGAGAGCATGGTACCTTGACTCATTAGTATCACTATCACGTCTGAGACAAAAGGTCATAGCTTCAAGTCATACCCCTAGATGTGAACACACAGTCTAGTCCACTATGTAATTTCAGGCAGCAGTAAAGGAGATTTCATTGACAAACGTGCTGTCATTTATTTGGATGACAAGCTAAACTGTGGCACTGTTTGTCCTCTCAAATGGGATTAAAAGATCCCATGACATAATTACAATGAATTCCTTAATCATCACCACGGAAAGCAGATTATTTGGTTGTTTATTTCATTGCAGTTTGTGGAGCCTTGTGTGTAAAATAATCTATATATCAATAGTAACTGCACTTCCAAAGTAACTCAATGGCTGCAGACAGCTTTGGGAGGATTTGAGGACATGAAAGACCCAATATCAATCCCAGTTCTTTCATTATTTACATTAGCAAGGCAACTGATCTGTGGTTTTCATGGAAAAATGACTGGGAACTACAAAGTACAGATCTCAAAATGCAAGTGAAAATTGCAGAAAGTGTTCTCTAATAAGAAAGGAATAAGATATAACCCAATAGTTCATTATTTAAATGGATGGAAATTCAGAATGAAATTGTAAAACACTATCAAGAATCTCCGAGTCACATGTAAAGAAACTTTGAAGTTGATCTTTTAAGTCAATGTAAAACAATAGCTGTGCTGGCTGTCCAGCAGGACAAGATACATGAGAAAGAGAGAAAATTTAAACTTGCATTTGTGCATAAGCTTCATCAAAAAGCACTCAGAAAATGTACTTTTCAACTCCATATTATCAACAAAATCACCCAGTAGCCATGATGACTGCCCAGATTTACCACAAGGAGGCCAGAATCACTATCAGATTCAGAAATTGTTTAAATGTTCTCAGTGTGCTATGAGTGTCAGGTACTTCACAAAGAAAAATACTCAATGTGATACATAATGAAACAATAGTGAGTGGAGGCCAGTGTCTCATCATTCAGGTTGACACACCGCTCCCCAGTCTGTATGCTGAGGGATCACCTCACAGTCAAAGGGATATACTGAAGGATCACTTTACAGTGAGAAGGATGTACTAAGGGATCATTTACATGACATAATGGGCTACAAAGCAAAGTCAAACAGAATTGCGGGCAACAGTATATCCCTACCCAATGAGCTGAATGCATCTTATGCTCACTTTGAGCAGAAAGTCAGTGAAACCTATCCCATTAGCCTTGGGTGCACTTGTACCCATGGTCAGCGCTGCAGGTGTCAGATCAGCCTTCTTGAGGGTGAGCCCATGGAAAGCAATGGCACAGGTGACGTTTCCGGCTGTGCACTCTGATCCTGTGTGGGCCAGCTAGCAGGAGTATTTGGAGACATCTTTAACCTCTCTTTACTATGATGTGATGTTCCCACCTACTTCAAGAAGACCACTATATTAAAATACCAAAGAAAAATCATGCAG